CTAGCCACAAGGGCTCAGGCACGACCCCAGACACACTCAGGAGTGCCGCATACAGCACACAGGCATGCCTGCATGTGTGAGGCACCACCTGCTCCCTGAGACAGCGCTGCCAGACACAGGTGTCTGTGTGGATCCCAGGGAGAGCCAGGTTGCTCTGCCTCCTCTGCTGCCCATGGGGAGATCCCACTGTGGCCGGACAAGCCCTTTGCCTGCTTGTCCATGATCCGGGGGGGCGGGGTGAGTGGGAAACGGGCAGCATGATCCCCTAGGAACCTTGTGGCCCCTGTGAGGCAGGGCCTGCTGTGTAGCCCACACATGGCCATGCTCCCGGGACATCCCCCTCCTCTGGCCCAAGGACTGTTGGTCGCTGCTCACAGAGGAGGGCACAGCCTCAGGGACAGTGTCTGCATGGATGACTGACCGCCTCTCCCTCTTTGTGTTCTCCACAGCTGGACCAGCTGGAATTGAGTGGCGAGCCACGCCACCTGAGCCACCTGCCAGAGCCCGGGGTACCCGAAAGCACACCAGGGCCCAGGAAGACCTGATGTGGTAGGATGTCAGCATCCTGCGCAACATGCAGCATACCCCAGTGCAGAAGATGCGGGAGGACGCAGAGTGGCGGAACTGTGCGTGGGACCAGCTCATGCAGCAGTGCGATAGCATGTGTGCCATTATGCATGACATGATGGCACACCCGGCAGTGGTCGCTGCTTCTGCCTACCACCCTGCTGCCCCCCCGCTATGCCCATTCCCCCTCACTCTGTACCACAAGCAATGCCTCTTCTCCCTCCTCAAGCAATGCCCACGCCTCCTCCCCAAGTGATGCCCATGCCCCTTCCCCCTGCCATCCCTGACCCCTCTCTAGCCCCCTCTTCTGTCCCCTTTGTGGCCCCAGGACCCACCCAACCCCAATTCCGACAAGGTCCCTTCACCTGAGGTGGCACATCCAGCTGTCCCCCATGCCACTCCAATTCCCCCTCCCTTCCAGGTTATGAGCCGCCCTCCTCCTCAAGTACAAACATCCTTGTAACCAATTTCTTTTTAGTTGATATCAAAGTTGAGAAACAGGTAGCATCAAAACTGAAACTCATAAAAGTGAAGTTAAGCATGTCACCATCAGTGAAATGAAGTAATAAAAAGTAATTCAGTTTAATACATAATTTAGATCATTGCTTGTTAATGCATTCTGCTTAGGTGTTGAAAGAAAAATATTTATCTCATATACAGTTAAGATTTCATTTGTTTTTTTAATGGAAAGCTTTCCAACTGACTTTAATAAGAACAGTTTGTTAAATCAGATTTTGAATTGGTGCATAGCTTTGAAGTTCATATAGTAATTTTTGACATGATATATGTAGCACTTACATTCTCCTCAAAGTGGCTGAATTTATTCTCTCATGAGTTTTAATATTCATTGTTGTCTTATATTACAAAAATTAAATTGGTTTCTCTGATGTCTTGATGGGAGGCAATTTGGCTTATGATTATTTTATTTTATTTTTAAAGCAATTAATAGCTTCACTGGCTCTTTGAGGCACTCTGTTCTTTCAGCTATCTGTCATATGCCTTGTGACAAAATTCTTTGTGAAAAACTTTATATTAAAGATTATTTCAATGAAAGAAGACATTCAGTTATTTTTGGTTTACTTACTTTTTCTCTTAATGATTCTCCTGAAACAGTGCACTTCACTAACAACTGTGGTGACCTTAACAAAAGATTCTGGAGGGTGACCTTATGCTATGCTGTATTGTCAATAGAACAATATGGTCATATTCCTGTCAGTGCTTCCATTAAAAATCCTTCTCTAGCTCATTGTTTCTTTCTAGTGTTCAATTTAGAACTGCAGGTCTCAGCCTAGAAAGGTTTTTTTTTCTAAAATGAAAATAGTATAATGCCCAAACTGAGTATGTTAGTTATGGGAAGATGTTTTGTGTTGTGTAGGGATTAGGCCCTCAATTTTTAAAAAAAGCTATTCAGCACTTGCTTAACTTTAAGCATGTTTAGGATAAGTCCCATTAATTTAAGCACCTTATATAAGTTAAGCACATGCTTAAGCAGCCTTCCTGAATGGTTTCTTAAATTAGCACCTAGAGCAAGAAGCTGAAAGTCAGGACTTGAATTATATTCCCAGTTTTGACCCTGACATTCACTGTAGCCTTGGGTAAATGTTACTTTATGCTTGAGTTTCTCCACCTGTAAAATGGTCACAATGGTACTTACTTCTTACATAAGGGCATTATGAGGCTGATAGTAAATGTCTCAGAAGACATTTCAGCTTTATGGCAGAAGGCTAACAATAAAAATGCAAGACAATGTTATTACTATGCATGCACATTTTTTCCCACTATAATGCTTCAAAATGTGATCTTAAAAGGCTTTGGAATTATATAAAAGCAATTTCATTCATTATTTCATCTACAGGTTGCCTCTAAATGCATTTTTATCGGCCACCTTTATTTATGATGACTTTCTTCATGCCTGGCCAGTTCAAACCCACCAAAGGCCGAACCATCTGGTACAGTAGGTACTGCCTTGTGAGTTTCAATGTTTTACAAGGTGGAGGCCTTATATAATTCCTCTGAAGGTGTGAACCACAAAATGTCAACTGCAGTTCGTAACTTTCACTGTGTAAGATTACAAATATTGGACCAAATCTTTATCTTGCTGAAGTCAATCACAATATTCTGATTGGCTACAATGGGACCAGGTTTTGGACAGTTATAGATAAGCCCATTGTATTGTTGATCAGCCATGACACTGGAGACCAGTGCTGGCTTTTCTGGTGACATTCATGGGGGGTGATTGAATGCACTCCCAACCAAAATCTTGTATGAATGCAAACATATGATTCTTTTATATTATTTATTCTTGTAATAGCTCTACAAGGGCAATAGTTTTCTGTTATCAGACAATTCTACTAACTTAATCCCAATTATTACTGCTGAATATTTTCATGCGACTCATTGCTGACTTCTTCCCTCTCCGTTAGCTACCATCCTTGATGTTGTTAATCTGTTTGCAGAGTCTTTTTGTATCTTTCCATTACTATAGCATGTTCAGTAGCCTCTCCTATATTTAATTAATATTATAAAATCAGAGGAATTAGAGATGGAAAAAATTACCAGGTTAACTAATTCAATTGCTACAAATGCAGTATTGTCCCATAAAACCCGTTGTCTAGTTGTGTTTTCAATGCCACACTATATGATTCAAGTAATGGGGTTCTCAGAATAATAAAATTGGTCTCTCTCATTTTCCAAGAAAATAATGGCTCATTAATCCAATAGCTTGGTACAGAACACCTGTGAGGTGCACCAGATCTATTACCCCAGCCCACTGGCTGTGGTAGAAACAGAACCACCTCTGCAGCCCTTCAAGGAGATTTAGGTTTATGGATTCATGCAGCAATAATAGATACTGCAAGGATTAGTATCTCATACTAAACCCCACTGGGTGGGGTTGCGACTTCTTTGGAGGATAGGGACATAATTCAAAATGACCTTAGCAAGTTAGAGAAATGGTCAGAGGTAAACAGGATGAGGTTTAATAAAGAGAAATGCAAAGTGCTCCACTTAGGAAGGAACAATCAGTTCCATACATACAAGATGGGAAGCGACTGTCTAGGAAGGAGCATGGCGGAAAGGGATCTAGGGGTCATAGTGGACCACAAGTTGAATATGAGTCAACAGTGTGATGCTGTTGCCAAAAAAGCAAATATGATTCTAGGTTGTATCAACAGGTGGGTTGTAAGCAAAACTCGTGAAGTCATTCTGCCGCTCTATTCTGCACTAGTTAGGCCTCAGCTGGAGTACTGTGTCCAGTTCTGAGCGCCACATTTCAAGAAAGATGTGGAGAAATTGGAAAGGGTACAGAGAAGAGCGACAAGAATGATGAAAGGTTTAGAGAACATGCCCTATGAAGCCAGGCTTCATGAACTGGGCTTGTTTAGTTTGGAAAAAAGAAGATTAAGGGGGGACATGATAGCGGTTTTCAAATATCTAAAAGGGTGTCACAAGGAGGAAGGAGAAAATTTGTTCCTCTTGGTTTCTGAGGACAGGACAAGGAGTAATGGGCTTAAAGTGCAGCAGGGGAGGTTTAGATTGGACATTAGGAAAAAATTCCTAACTGTCAGGGTGGTCAAATATTGGAATAAATTGCCAAGGGAGGTGGTGGAATCTCCCTCTCTGGAGATATTTAAGAACAGGTTAGATAGACATCTGTCAGGGATGGTGTAGACGGAGCTTGATCCTGCCTTGAGGGCGGGGGGCTGGACTCGATGACCTCTCGAGGTCCCTTCCAGTCCTATTATTCTATGATTCTATAACTCCATAGATCAACAGAGGTCCATCCAATGAGTGCCATTTGGCTCCGCCCTTGGTCTGCCGTTCCACAATCCCGGATGGGTAAAGTCACCATGGAACAAAGCACAGTGGCATGAAGAGAAGTCTCCCTATGCAAGCCCCCGTTGCTTGCATTCTGTGCATAAAAATCAAAATGGTTCTGCTTTCTTTAGAGATGACTCCAGCACCTACCACAGTTGGGGTTAGTGGGCAGTAGCATTTGGATAAATAGCTCAGGATTAGGCATGTATTTTTTTCTTTAAAGTTTTAGTCTCTTTAAATATGAATGTAAACAATTAAAAATGTTACTAATATTGGTGGATTTAAAATAGTCTCATTCAAAAATCTCCTTGAATATGGCTCCAAGGATTTATAAACAGATCAAGACTGTCACTGTAAAGTATTATGAAGCCAATATCATATAAATATAGCAGAAATTGGTCATATTTATCTTTTTTCCCCCATGTGCATTCATTTTAAATCTAAAGTCTTGCAGTATAAAGTCTATAAATATTCAGCTCAACTGACAGAAAGAAAAAAGAATTCACTCAGAAATAAGTAACTGATTAGTGGCTTACAAAGCCCTCCCAGTTTTGAAAAGGAAATGGGAAAAAAACAAAATCATTTCAGTCTGAAAATAACTTACCTGCAGGTGTGAGGTGATGCTATGTTTTCAAGTTTCTGGGTGACACATTCTGATGCAGTGTGTGTCACATTGTGTTACCATGTCACATTCCTGGTGATGCAAAGCGACAGATGAAAAACTCCAGATGGAGTCTCTCCATACACTACTGTGTGTGCGCATACGGAAGGTTCACGATGGGTAATGCCTACCTCTTATGTAGGTGAGGAAAAGGCTGATATTTTCGTTATATCTGTGGGCAGAAAGAAGGAACTCATTAGAATGTGACAAGTTTCTGGTTTGAACAATACTGCACATGTAATCTCATTATCTCTACTGGGGAATTGCAGGAGTATGTGTGTAAAACAAGATTTTATGGATGTAGCTCAGCCAGTAAGTACTAATGGATTAATAATCGGTTTGTTCTCCTCCACCCTCCCAATTTGGGGTTGGATCCTCTTCTGGTGTAAACCAGAATAGCGTCGCTGAAGCACACTGAGTTACACTGGCTGAAGATCTGAGTTGATCAATATTTAGACTTCAGTTTTTCAGCTTTCCATTCATTTGGTAAATTATTATTGCTCTCTCTGAAAGCTGATATATATACACTCTAGGAATATAATGAGAATGCAGAATCTTTGTTTGTGTTCCACAGAGAAAGGGGTGGACTGCTTCAAAAAATAAGAACCAAGTTCAACTGTTTTACCCAGTGTCTAATACAGAACCCCTTTAAAGGTGTGTAGCTGCTCAATTGCCCACCTCCCCCACCCCCCATTATCTAGTATCCACTTATACCTCCCCTTTTGGATTCTGGTCTGGATCACAGATGCAAATACACAAGTACAATGAAAGAGGCTGACTGACCATCTGGCATTTTCAGCCTGATTGACGGTAGAAAATGCCCAGTATCTTGCAAGGGAGCCTAATTTTAGTGACAGAAGATTTGGTCCTGCATATCAAAGGTCCAGCGGAGGGCAAGCAAAATGAGATAAGGGGGCTAGAACACTTGACCTAGCAGGAGAGGCTGAAGGATTTGGGCTTATTTAGTTTGCAGAAGAGACGAGTGAGGAGGGATTGGATAGCAGCCTTCAACTTCCTGAAGGGAGATTCCAAAGAGGATGGAGAGAGGCTGTTCACAATAGTGACGAATGACAGAACAAGGAGCAATGGTCTCAAGTCACAGTGGAAGAGGTCTAGGTTGGATATTAGGAAAAACTATTTCACTAGAAGGGTGGTGAAGTATTGGGATGGGTTACCTAGGGAGGTGGAGGAATCTCCATCCCTAGAGGTTTTTAAGTCTCTGCTAGACAGAGCCCTGGCTGGGATGATTTTGTTGGGGTTGGTCCTACTTTGGGGCAGGGGCTGGACTCGGTGGCTCCTGGGGTCTCTTCCAGCCCTAGGATTCTCTGATTCTCTGATACCTTATACTGCCCCAACTCCCCTTGATTTCAAGGTAGAGTTTTGGGTGCATGAGGCATGCAAATCAGAGCTCCTAAGTGAACATAAGAATGGCCATACTGGGTTAATCCACAGGTCCATATGGCCCAGTATCCTGTCTTCCAACAGTAGCCAATGCCAGGTGCTTCAGAAGAAATGAACGGAATCATTAGGTAATCATCAAGTGATCCATTCCCTGTTGTCCATTCCTAGCATCTGGAAAACAGACCCTAGGGACACTTTCAGAACATGGTTCTACATCCTTCCCATCCTATCTAACCACCCTTGATGGATTTATCCTCCATGAATCCTCTATTTCTCTTTTGAATTCTGTTATAATCTTGGCCTTCACAACATCCTCTGACAGGAAGTCCCACGGGCTGACTATATTGTCTGAAAAAAATACTTTCACTTTTGTTTGTTTTTAACCTGCTGCCTATTCATTTCATTTCATGACCCTTAGTTCTTGTGTTGTGAGAAGGAATAAATTACACTTACTTACTTTCTCTGCACCAGTCATGCTTTTGTAGACCTCTACCAGATCCTGCTTTAGCTGTCTCTTTTCCAAGCTGAAAAGTCCCAGTTTTATTAATCTCTGCTCATATGGCAGGTGTTTCATAGCAACAGATATCAAAGGCCAGGGCAGGCTAAGCCACTTTTGACCTAGGCCATGGCCCTGCCAATGTTCTGCCCTGCAGCTCTGCCTTTCTCCCTCTATAACCTGAAGCAGGAAGGAGCTCAGCTGCAGCAGGCAGCTCTGGGGCTAGTGCTCAGTCTAATCTAGTGCTTAGCCTGGGGGACAAGCAGGGCAGACCAGTGGCTCAGGACGGTACTGAGAGGGGCAGCAACTTGGCCTAGCACTAGGGCTTACACTCCCCCAGGCATGGGTGGCAGTCTCGGGGCTCCTCCAGGCACAGGGGAGTGCTGTCATCTCTGGGCTTCTCCAGCCACAAGGTGGGGGGCATGGATAGCAGGCTAGCCTACCCACAGTGAGGGATTCACCTGCCACCCATGATGCTGTACTGTATTCCTAATCATTTTTGTTTCCCTTTTTTGTATCTTTGCCAACTCCAGTCTACACTCTTTGCAATGAGGCGACCAGATCTGCATGCAATCTTTAAGATGTGGGTGTATTTTCTGTCTTATTATCTCTGCCTTGACTCATGGTTCCAAAGATTCTTTTTTTGGGGGGAGGGGCTGCCTCCACACATTGAGCGGATGTTTTCAGAGAAATATCCACAATGACTCCAAGACCTCTCTTTTGAGTGGTAACAGCTCATTTAGAGTGGCTCAGCTAGTTCTAGTGCAATTCCTATGTGCATCCAAACTGGTGTGTTCCTATTTGAAAATAAAATCTGAGCCTTCAACGATTCTCTCACTGTTAGATCTGCCATGCTTGTGAACTGGCCCTGCATTATCTTTGACCTCAACAGTAACTGCCTCTAATTCTAGAAACACTAATATTGCCCTCTTCGTCTGGCTGCAAGGCATCGTCCTGTTTTTGTGGGGGGGGGGGAGGTGTTAGGAACTGTGCCTCCCAGATCTCCCTGGTGTACCGGAAAACTCACCTGGGCCAGCATGATTAGAGGGTGCAGCATGTGACCCCCTCCACTAGCAAACAGTGGGGAGGGGACTGTGGCCTTATCCTCACTGCCTTTGGGTCACATGTATTTGCATAGTATGGGTTTGTCTACACAGCAGGACTAAAGTCGGAATAAGCTACACAGCTTCAGCTACATCAGCTGCGTAGCTGAAGAAGAAATAGTTTATTTCAGTTTTCGGAGCTGTCTACACAGCAGGAAGTCAAAGGAAGAACACTCTTCCTTCGACTTCTCTTACTCCTTGTAAAATGAGGGTTACCATCAGTCGGAGTAAAGAAGTCCTCCAGCTCGACATTCTGTCAAAATAAAGGCTTGTAGTATAGATGCGCTCTTTGTTATTTCCAAATAATGTCTGTGTGGCTACGTCTAGACTGGCATGATTTTGTGGAAATAGTTTTAACGGAAAAGCTTTTCCGTTAAAAGTATTTCCGCAAAAGAGAGTCTAGATTGGCAAGGATGCTTTTGCGCAAGAAAACTCCGATGGCCATTTTAGCCATCGGACTTTCTTGCGCAAAAAATTTAGGTGCCTGTCTACACTGGCCCTCTTGAGCAAGTATTCTTGCGCAAGAGGGCTTATCCCTGAGCAGGAGCATGAAAGTATTTGCGCAAGAAACACTGATTTTGTACATTACAAAGTCAGTACTCTTCCACAAATTCAAGAGGCCAGTGTAGACAGCTGGCAATTTTTTGCGCAAAATCTTGCCAGTCTAGATGCACCCTGTAGGTGTACCCTCTGGGAACTCAGAGGAGGACAGGTTTTGCTCAGCCCTTGCATGGAGATGAAAAGCCAAGAGATGTCTCAAACCACATTATTGAAGCTGTGGGTGCAGTGTTATCAACTAATGATCTTGGCACAGCTGACTGCATGTTATAACAACACCTAAGGGCGGATAGCTGGAAAAGAGCTGAATCAGCTGGGGAATGAGATGCCCACTTACATGTCTTGGTTTTTAGCAGTCTACCAGAGAGTCCCATCACAGGCCCAAAATTCCATCAAGCTGTGGTGTTGCTGCAGGGGATGCTGTTGTTTCCTTTTCATGCTTTCATTGGTCTATTACAATATCGCATTGTCTGATATAAGATAATACATTCACACTTCTTCAGAAATCACCTTCTTTTGGCTCAATAACAACAGCACTGGCCAATTGATGTTCTTGGCAGCAGAGCAAACAAGCAAGCGCCTGCAGTCACAATGTGTCAAGTGCCTCGGTAACACTGCGGTCCCCGCCGGAGGCAGAAGCACCTTAGCTAGCTACAAGAGGGACGGGCATTCATTTTACAAATGGTTGGTTCCCAAAAGGATTCAACGCTGATACACAAAGCCGGGGCTGTACTTCAGGAGTGGTAGGATGATTATGCTTGTGGCCATTTCGAATATTTGTTTTTCAGAGCTGGGGATCGACTCACTGGCTTTGGTGCAGGGAGATAGAAATGACACATCCCCTGGGTCAATGATCCTCCTGCATTCACCCTGCCGTAAGGCTAATTGCCTTAGTGCAAACACCTTCTTCCAGTGCTTCTGCTACACATTGCTTTCATTTGCAGAATGAGTTTCAAAGGAGTGGGGGGTTACACTGCTTCCACACAGCCCTCTCCTCTGGATGTTGCCCTGACCCTAACACTCTTCCAGCCCCATCTGAGAGGAAGGCTGCGATCCTTTCCAGAGGCTGCAATCTCATCCTTTAGTGGACTTTCCACCACCAGGGCCTTGTGTGTATGCTGATGGGATCCTGGCTGGATTTTAGAATGAGGTTAGGCTGCTATTTCATGGTCTGATGCCTCATTTCTTATCAATTCAGGTATTTTGTCTTTTAAAAACACCAGATCCTAGCAAGACTGTCTGCAAAAGGGGTAGCTGGGATGATGTGTACAAGTATTTCAAAGCAAGTGACTGAGTGGACAACATTAAAGATGGATCAGTTCACCATCTATTTTGGTACATCATCATATACCCTTTGGTTTTCAAGCCTCTCTCTCTTTTTTGATTCATTACACACCATGATTCCTCTAGGCTCGGTTGATTTCTGTGTTGGTGAAGGAGAGAACGTAGTAGCTTCAATTGTTAACAAACTGTGATATGAAACTGGATTTGTATCTGGGGATGTGTGTCAGTTGCACTGCAGCGTACCTATAATGTTCCCTGATGTGCTTGACTGGTGAGAGGGGAATCCTGATTGAAATAATCCTTGCAGATCTAATACACAGCTGGGAATGC